GCATTCTAAATGTAATATATAATCATTTATTTTTGTTTGTTCGTATTTTATGCGCTGCCATAACGTTTATCAGACTGCGGTAAAACTTTGTCAACTTATTGCTTGCACTTGCGCGAAGGTTATAGGCATAGTACAATTAACTTACAATACGTGGCGCGCGTATCGTACCGAAAATTTATTTGAAAGTAATAGATCATTCAATTCAAATGATAGTATTATCATTCCTAATTGAACAATATAACCCTTCCAAATTTAAAACGATATTTCCACTATTGTTTCTTCTGCGGCAGCAACGCGCCGGACCAGCTAATATAATATAATATAATTTAATACACTTATGCAATGGTTATGTTTAATATCTGATCTATTCTCTATTAAGAACCAATATGCAGATGCGTTATCACCACTTAGGACTAAGATTGAACGGTACGTTTTTACTTTTTAGTAAAAAGGGTCGAAAATCGGAAAATATATCAATTGTCGCTGTAATGTAAGGCGTCCTGGTTATTGTAATACTTCAATATATTAATTTATTACGACATTCTGAAACCCAAAATAAATGAACAAAACGTATAAAGACCAATTTATGTGAGACATTTCATAAACACGGTCGCTTAGGGCGTTATTAATTATTGGGCTTTTTCAAGGGCGTGTTCTCTATTATGCATAAGTAAAAAAAAATTCTAGACATTAGCTGAGGGACCTTCTGATTTCGTAGTAAAGAACTCCTCATTAAGCTGTGATGTCGTTTTTAAATAAAACTAATTTTACGGATTTTAAATCCGAAAAAAAACCGTAAAATTAGTTTTATTTAAATGTGTAGTGTTCGCGTAAATATAAGAAATCATTCTGGTGTCGCTTGCTGATAAAGCCACACATACATGATTCTTCTTCTTTTCTTTTTCACCAGCCCTTAAAAGTCCACTGCTGGGAAGTCTTTTCCGTTTTGGGAAGGTTTTGTTTTAATCGCCACTCTTGGTAAAAGGCCATCACAGACCCAATCTTCACCTTCAACGATGCTTTGGCATTTCACGCCAAGCTTTTACAACAAACTGGTTATACCGTAATCTAACGGAAACCACGAGATCTTTCTGACATATGTATACCATAGTCGCCTATTACGAAACCCACGGGAAGTAATGAGGCGATGGATTAAATTTTCTCACGAATTTCTACCACTATACGACAAATATATACAGGATACATTTAAGAAGAGAAAAATTTATTATATACTCGTATATAAGAGACGATCACTGACAGCCTATACCTCCTTAATATAAGTCAATACAAGATGTAATGAATCTTTTATATATTTATTATAAAAAAGAAAAAACACGCAGTTTAATACATACCACAAAAAATACCAATAATATTAAATTACAGTGGACAAATAAATATTTCACCATAATTATAGCTGGAACTATCACAGTTGCCACAATCCGAAATGAAAATGTGCGAAATCATTGTCAAAGTAAATATTTATATGTAGGCAATAAACACATTATGTCAACACCTAATTGACCCCGGTACGTAAAAAAGCAATTATTTCTTTGTTAAAATATGATAACTACCTTTTATCCGGTTGCGTTTGTTTGTTTACAAAGTAGTAAGGATTCCAGTAAGAAGAGACTCAAACTTGCACTGCTGTTTATTATTACATTAATGTTCCAGTAGCCTACAAAGTTTATCAAATTAATGTGAGGAGTATACCAACTACTCTTTTTCAAATTGTTTTCTTTCCAACACACTTACTAGTCGGATAACTCCTTAGTTTGGTTTGTTAGTCACGTTACGGGACCAATCTTCTTCTATTCTTACGTGGTAGAGCCACGCTGCAGCTATATTGTGGTTGGATGTCACTCAATTCCTCTAAAAAAATTACAGGAGTACGGCGTCTATCCTTTCTTGCTGCTGATGTATCCGACCTTGTTCGTGGCGAGCATAGTCGGGTACAGCTAGTTGGGTGTAGCCACGCAGCACGGGCACGTGCTGAGTGTGTTGTACTACTAAAGTGAGAAAAACTGAGAAGAAGACTGAAATCGGCCGAGATTTCAGTCTTCTTCTCAGTTTTTGTGCTTACTGTAACCTCTCGATTTTCTTAGAGCTTTGTTCTTACCTCAAAAGAAGTTAAGGTTCAGTTTCTAATACGCTGGTAACGATGAACCGGTCATCTCTGACCACAGTTATACATTTACGTGCCTATCCTGCGAGTCTCGTATACTGACCGGTCTGCCGATGCCTCTTGACAAGTCGGTGTACCTCAGATTTTGATACTCGAAATGTTTGGGCCACATGTTTGTAGGTGTGTCCAGTTTCAAATAAAGTAACATCCCTTAGGCTGCATATCTATCAGTTTATTGGATAGCATTATCTCGGTCGAATTGTTATGATGCTGTTATCTGTTTTTGTAATAAATAAATACAAAAATATAATTAAACGTCTAAATGAAATCAAATGCAACTTTTTTGTGTGTGTGTATGTGTGTGTGTGTGTGTGTGTGTGTGTGTGTGTGTGTGTGTGTGTGTGTGTGTGTGTGTGTAGGTGTGTTCAGTTTTTAAAAACACTTTCATTCATTACAGCCTATTAAAAGTCCACTGCTGAATATAGGTTACCCTATAGATAGTCTTTGATTAATATTTCCAATAGTTTCTACGCTTAGCAAGCGGGTTGGCAACAGTAGTTTTTTTTTTGTAATTAAGAAGACGCTGCTGCACATCTCCTTACGACACCCATGGGACGATATGGGGCAGTAGATATTACACTATACGGTTCCTAGCACTTATATTAATATATTTTATTGGTACCTATGGTTAGGAATGTTTACCAATACCAATTATTGGTAAACGTTCTAACGTTTTGTACCTGGTAGAACCATGCTGCAGCTATATTTATAGTATAGTTGTAGCACGAATGGGTCGGCTCGACCGGGGAAGGACTGCGCTCTCACAGAATACCAGCGTAAAACAACAGCTTAATGCGGCTGTGTTTCGTATGGTGTGGAGTGTAGAGAAATGGAGACCCATTTTTACTGGAAAAGAGACATTCCATCTTAGTCCTCACAGGTGACAACGTATCTACGTTTTGATTCGCAAACGAGGATAGATATAAATGTCTTTGGGCCACAGCAACCACTTACCATCAGGTGGACTGTGCGCTCGCTAGTCACCCTTATCCTATAAAAAAATTGTGATTTAGCACTATAATGTTGTACGCTTTTCTAAATTATTAATATTCTTAAATTTTTAATTCACTTATTTGGATCGATTGAATACTCGTAACCTATGGGTCTAGTGTGGTACGACCATAAGTAATTTAGTCTGTATTTACGCAAACGAGGGTAAAGGCAAAGTGCAAAATGGAGGGCAATCATGCAGGAGTTGGGTAGCGAAGATTTTCTTATAATAAAAAAAAAACATAAAAAACTACGGCATAATCTATGGGGGAGGTCTAGGTTCATCAGCTGGCTTTTGATTTGTTGTAACGCTACCGGTAACGGATCTTAGCAATACTAAACTTTTCGCACCAATGACTGCCCCTTTCAGCAGTAGGGTGTTATAATATAGGTAGTACTGCATTACTTTTTTAATTATCGTTACAAATTTACCTACAAATAACACTTAATAGCAGAGATGGTTAATATGAAGGATTAAGGATTAATTTTAAAGATATAGAGCAACGAATGTACGGAGGACACAGAGTAAATGGGGCTCTTTAGTCTATTGTGAGAAGTCACAATGTGTCAAAAAAGTACCTACTATTCATCATCATCATCATTACAGTCCTTCACAAGTCCACTGCTGAGCATTGGCCTCCCCCAAGGAATGCTACAAAGCACGGTCCTGAGCCACCTGCAACCATCGACTTCCTGCATATCTTACCAGGTCGTCACTCCACCTACTATTGGCATTTCACAAAGCTGTGCTAGTCCTTACTTTAATTTAAGGTAGTGAAAGTTGGGTGTGGCAGAAGAAGCACGAGAGTAAAATAAATGGTGTAGAAATGTAGTCATTAAGGGGTATGTTAGAGGTGACACTAAATGTCAGGGTGTGAAGTAGTATAATAAGAGAAAAGTGGGGTTTGCAAGATAATGTTGTGATCAGGATTAAGAAAGGAATGTTTTGGTGGTTTGATCATGTAGAAAGAAAGAATGTGGAAAGAGTGACAGACGGAATTTATAAATCGAGTGGCAGTGTCAGCAACGCATACCTTAGACTGAAGTTTATCAACCAAATTGACAAAATATTGAAGGTGGGCTAAAAAGTTCATCTTTAATTGAAGAGCTTAGATGCGTAGGTATATGGACGTGAAAGAGGCGAGAGAGGTGTGTCAAAATCATGTCAAATGGAAGGCCGTAATCTCTGCCTATCCCTCCAGATTACATGCGCGAGTGTTTACGTCTATAAAATACACTTTATCTTACGCCGTCATATAGTGACGCCGTAAAGAGTTATTTGCATGTTTTGCATGTTTTGTATGTTTTCCTTATTTTAAACATTAACTTACTATATTATATTGATCCCGTGGGTGCCTTTAGAGGCTATAGATAGAAATGAAACAGTAGATAGTTATGGAGCAGTATCTTCCTGATAACAACACATAATAATGAAACTACAGTTGCCAACCCGCCTGCTCAGCATGGTAAATATTGCGAATAGATAGACTATGAGGAATCTATGTTCAGCAGTGGACTCTTGACAGGCTGCAAAATAATATAAAAACTTTATTTGATCGTTCTAGAACTTTACTAATCCTACAATAATCTAAACGATTTCAAGTCTCTTCCACAAAAACTGTAATGTGTTATTATGTCCAATGTCAAATGTGGTGGGTGTGTCAATTCCCGAATTTGCTGTTTAATCAAAAACGATGACTATCGCATATTCTTTACTTCTAATTAGGTTTACATTTGCTATATAACCGAGAGGTTCTAACTTGTGTCATCTCAAAACGCCAGTTGTAGCAATAACTAACAAGTTTAATTGATTTAATTGATTACCAAAATGAACAAGATTTTAATTTTTATTTGTTGTTTGTACTATTTAAATGTGATACCGTTTGAAGCCTATGTAAGTAATTTTATACAAATTCAATTTTGATCATCACTATTCTACAACTTTATTATACACACCAATCTTTTAAGACATGTGTATGTAAATTTCTCATTCACAAGTGTTTTGTAATAGATAGGTGGTTACCCTTTTATGAAATACTTACATATATTGTAATAGGGTCGATGGAGCACAAGAAATTAATTGAATCTCCTTGCTATCCAAACAAGACAAAATAACTACTCAAATTCATATGCAGATCGCACTCGTAATACAACTGGTTGTTACAAAGAGTGAATATCTGGTCTGAGATGTCTTGGAGATACTCCATTCGAATGTATATTTTATAAGTGAGTTACCTCATGACTTTTTTCTGTGTGAACCGATTTTGATGATTTTTTTTATTTGAAAATTGGTGCTTCTTATGTGGTCTCATAAAAATTTGATCAAGGCATGACCAGTATTTTTTGAGTTATCGTTAATAATTTTATTGAAGTCGGTTGTACAAAATTTTTAATTTTACTCTTTGTGTTATCCATAATTTTCCTTGAGTTATACTGCAGGTGCTACAGGTGTAGCGTAATGTCGGTTGTGATTTTCTGTAATTAGTTATTCAATGATAATTATGAATAACTTAGCTATATAAAATATTCCAATGGGCTAAGATAACTATTAAAATAAATTTGTTTTAAGAATTATCCCATTGGATACATTTAAAGCCAGATAGATATGCCTAGATATCTCCATAAATGCATAAAATATACGGTTATACCGTTTGAAGAATTACTTTTGTGATCGCCGTGTGCAAGTTACGGAGCTAATTTCTCACAGACAGAGAAACAATATTTTTAATCCTAAAAAGACATTTTACATGTTTAAAAAATAAACGTAGATACTACAACTTAATTTTGTTTGCGTTTTCAAAATGTTTTCAGTTTTTTTTTTAAAAACTGATTACAAATTAGTTGAATTGGACAATTATTTTGAATTTTAAAAAGAGAAAGAGAATGCGATTTGTTATTTCTTTTATATATAAACTATCCATCCATACATGTCATTACTGAAAGTTCACTGTTTTATATACACCTTCCCCATAGATTACCTGGGGATTTTGCAATAATTGCAACGCTTGGCAGGCAGGCTTGCAACAGCAGCTTTTGTTATTTTAAGTTGTAATCAGGAAAATGCTGCTTTCACTACAGGATTTATTAAGTTATATAGAACCTCAGAGTAACATTGTGTTGTACTCTAAGATATGAAAATAGCCATTTTTAATATAAACAAAACCATAAATTATAGGTTTATCTAGTAAAGTAGGTACCACATTTATCTTTATCACTCCACTTTAGCCATGTCGTGGTGGCCTCACAGAATCCATAAAACTACATCACTATAGTCCAAAATGCAAAATTTTCGGTAATGCGTTTTACTTATCTGAGTCCCAAGCTTGGCGGTTATTAAAAACCCTCCCTAGTAGTAAAGACTCTATACAATAATGGAATGATTAAAGACTGAAGGTATCGATGATGATAATGACGCTAAATTGCCTAACATGATTAGTTCACATTAGTCGAACGGCGAAAAATCTTAAGTAACATTCCCTACTAGCGACTGAATACCGCTAACCTTTTAACTAACCACACAAATTTAATCTTTATATATAAAAATTACGTGTCACATAGTTTGTCCGCGATGAACTCCTAAACTACTAAACTGATTTCAATGTAATTTTGAACACTGTGTTTGGTCCAACTTGAGAGATAGGATAGTTTTTATCCCTTAAGGTGACCCTCAATATTTTTTATTACGAATTTAAGAATTTTTATAGGACACAGGGTCGTCGGAGAGTGCAGAACAATGTCTGCCTGGCCAGCTAGTTCATTATATAATTTTTGTATATAACATTATTTCAGGCAATGACAGTAGAACAAAAAGCCCAGATACATGAACACTTTGAAAAGATAGGTATCGAATGCATCAAAGACAACACAATCACTGAAGAAGACATCAATAATCTCAGAGCACATAAAATTGCTAGCGGACCTAACGTTCCTTGCTTTTTAGCATGTATGTTGAAGGAAGTCGGCATTGTAAGTACCGATGAATTCGTAATTTTCCCTAATATAAAGTTTATGTAAAATAATATACAAATAATTGTTATTAACCTTAATAATATATTGATAGTTAACATAAATAAGAACCGTAGCAGCTCAGGCGTTAAGCGCTAACGCAAGCAACCCGGGTTCGATCTCAGCCGGCACCAATGAAATTGTAAATTGCAATTTTAAATGCTGATTTTACCACGGCTCGGTGTTGAAGGAAAACATCGTGAGGGAACCCGCATGTCTGAGAAATAATAAAAAAAAATATTTCGAAGACATGTGAGGTTCATCAACACGCATTGAGGCAGCGCGGCGGACATTTCCTTGCCACATCTCAGAAATGAGAGGAAGCATGTGCCCAGCAGTGGGACTTATATAGGCTGTAACTTTACTTTAACTTTTACCATAAATAAATAACTTTTATTAAAAATACCTTTTTAGAATAAATTGATTTCTATCCATCCCGTGGATGTCGTAAAAGATGACTAAGGGAAATGTCTGAAAGACCTCATAGCTTCTGGGTAGCGTTTCTTATAGAGTCCGTTTAAACTACAAGTAAAGTAACCAAATCCTGGCGCCGGAGTATAAAGTCAAAAGTACAAAACATTTGTTACAACGATCGCCAATCCCGTTAACAGCATGGTCACTACGGTAGGTCCTTTCTATGTCTAAGTCTATTTCTATTTCAAGATAATTAATATAATCAGGCGTTACTTTGCGGAAGTCCATTATATTAAATTAGACAAAAAATTGGTGCACGCAATTGAGGGAGGGTGGGAGGTGCTCTTCAAACTTTTTTATCTAGCGTATGTACGCAAAGTAATTTTTTGTCAAATTTAATTTTTCTATTTCTATGGACTTGTACGGGCTGGCAAAGAATAAGAATAGCTTTGAGAGAAAAAAATCGGTGAAATAAAATTAATATTATACTCACATACTATACATATACATATTTTTACGCGGAAGAGCCATGCTGCAGCTATAATAATAGTATAGTTGTAGCACGAATGGGTCGGCTCGACCGGGGAAGGACCACGCTCTCACAGAATACCAGCGTAAAATAACAGCTTAATGCTGCTGTGTTTCGTATGGTGAGTGTAGAGAACCGGAGACCCATTTTACTAGAAAAAGAGGCATTCTATATTAGTCCTCACGGCTGACAATGTAACAATTAAGGCAAATCTTACCCATAACGGGAAAGGCAAGGTGAAGAAAAAGTGAAGATAACGCCCAATACCAAAGTGACCAAGTTTATGAAATGTTGTTGTAATAAATATATTTTTGGGGTGGCTGGGATTTCCTTTTCGTAGCGACGGTATATTGGTGGCAAAGGCATATTATTACAATAACAGCCTGTGTAGTGTATTTGTTTAAATTAATGGATTATTTAATTAAATTACGCTTCCAGATGGACGACAAAGGAATGCTTGAAAAAGAAACGGCTCTAGAACACGCTAAGAAAATTTTTAATGATGCCGAGGAATTAAAACTTATGGAAGATTATCTTCATTCATGTGCCCACAGTAAGTTATTTTTTGTTGTATTTGTTTTTGTGTAAGTTTAATAGATTAAATATTTTTTAGTCCAAAATAATGTCAAGGGGCATATGTGAACTAGTTCTTCGATATCACCTGCACTGTTTGCAGAAAAGACATCCAAACACATGACATGTTAAGTACTTGACCTGTTTCTTAAAACTTATCAGGTCTTGACATATTCTTGCGTATTTTTATGAACTTTTAAGAGACCTTCATAAAAATTGGACGTTGCTATGCTAAAAAGTGATCCAACCCACGATAGATACTTGCAAGCGGCGCTCTAAAAGTCAAATGTTTGGTAAAATTTTTCGGCTCACTGTTCTTGTGTATTTTTATGAGCCACAAATAGATATTTATGGGGCTTGCTTCCATTTGTTATGAAATGGTGTTATTATAGTATAGTGTGAAAGTATTAACAATAATGATTATTTTGCATATCATACAATTTTTCCGTAGAGTTTGGGATAAATCCTTCTTGTTTCACTGCGTCCAATTTTGCTAACGTATGAATTTCTTAGATAATAACATTGCTTAATAACGTATAATTATATTTTACAGTAAATGGTGAATCCGTCAGTGATGGTGAAAAGGGATGTGAACGTGCCTCCTCAGCTTATAAATGTATGATCGAAAATGCATCACAGGTAAACATTTGAAAGCAAAAATTAAAATTACACATTATTTTTAACGTTTTGTACTGAAACGGGAACTTTCACCGATTTCGACTACGCCGCGCTCACGATTTCCATATATGGCTTAAAAGCAACAATTGTCTAGAAAACAAATAAGTGCTATAATTTTCCGAATCTATCGTATCTAATGTAATGCGGAAGCTATACAAAAGACAATAACAAAACTTCTTCATCATGATCAGCTTGAATAAATCAACTACTTGATATGGGTCTTCCCGTTGTATGGTGGATCCAAAAGGAACCAAGCTAGGCAGGAAAATTGGCAATCGCACTTTTGGCGCTATTTTATACCCGGCTCAAATCTGGATAGTTACAACATCTATCGAAAACCATGAGATCTTTCTGGAATATTCCATAATAGCCTCTTACAACACATCTATGACGAAATGGAGTGACGAATTCTCTCACGATGCTACCACACTGCTCAATAACTCTAACGATAATATTATCATAACTGAGGTGAAAAAAAAACAAGAAGTTGATTTGCGCTAATGATGACTGGGAGTGAAACGCAGAAGTCGCCGCTCAGTAGAAAGGTAGCCTTGCCACAAAGCTGCAATAATAGGAAGGCAAATCAAACTATATGTTTTAATATCTTTCTTGTTTATTCTGTCTTTCAGCTTGTAACAGATTTATTTTTACACTAGTAATCATTAGGTGGTAAGTCACAGCTTACGAATAGTTATTATAAGCCTTGTACTAAAATTGCCAATCAGCTTTCTAAGAATGGCGTATACACCTGAAAGCCCCTCATCTATGATTCATCAGTTGTGATTTTTGGGTTGGAAGAGCATCACATAATATATCGATTTATTTTTTTGTTAAGCAAATTGATGTTCAAATGAATTTTATTTTCTCGATATTAATCCGAATTATTTCTTTTTCAGTTCGGAATTGACCTGTAAGTCGGCGCTGAGCTTGCAACAATAAACCTGGCGCTCTGAAAATAATTCAGAAAACGCACAGATTTTCATATTAATTTAATTATCGTTTTCTTTGTCAAGAAATAAATACAATAAAAATGCATATAATGTTTTAAAAGTTTTCCTTTGTTTTCATTTACCTTAGTACGTAATTATGGCAAAAAAACTAGTATTTCCTCTTACATATTATATATTATTAGGGAGTGATAAGAATATCCGGTGGAGGTTCGGTTGCCACCTAAGACGACTCGACCTGGCAACAACAACGCACCCACCCTGAGGACTGACAAGAAGATCCTGGAGCTGTAAGAAGAGATAGACAAGTTACGCTGGCATATTATAGGATTATCCGAGGTCCAAAGAGAGGGGAACACACGGTGATCTGTCCCAAGGAGGTGTCGGATCTATCGTCCACAAATCTCTCGATATTAACATCGTTCTAAAGATTACGAGTGTGTCGACGAGGTTTGCGTACCCTATACTCAGAATCACCAAACGGTATTGTTTGAAGGTCATACAGGTTTACGCAACAACCTCAGCACATTCTGATGAGGAGGTGGAAGAAATGTATAAGGATATCTCTAAAGCCATCCATTCCTCCATAACTCAGGAACCCGTTCGGGGGGGAGGAGGTGGACCGACATAGCCCAACGGATTAGTAATCTGAAGTGGCAATGTGCCGGCCATATAGCTCGAAGAATCGACAAACGATGGGGAAAAAAGGTTCCCGAGTGGCGGCTTCGTACCGGTAGGCGAAGTGTAGGGCGACCCCCACTAGATGGAGTGTCGACCTGGTAAGACATACAGGAAGTCGATGGATGCAGGTGACTCTGAACCGTGCTTTGTGGCATTACTTGGAGGAGGCCTATGTTTAGCAGTGGACTTGTGAAGGGCTGTAATGAGGTTTCACATTTCGCAGTTCACATCTTCAGTACTTAATTAAAAAATATTGCCGCTAAGTGTGCATAATATGTAACTGCGCATGCAAGTGAAATAAATGGAACTTTTATAATTTTATTCGTAAAAAAAAAACTATTATCAAGTTAATGTTAATTTAATATTTATAACACAAAAGAAAAAAGAAATTCAGTGTTATTTTCTCATAGTTAAAAATGTTGTCGTAGTAATGTTGCCAGGAAGTCTTGCTATAAATTCCCACGGTATATTAATGAAAAATGTATCACAGAGAATTTACTGTAATTGACCTTGGTTTGCCCATGTTATACTTTTTTTGTATACATTTTGAAGCTGAAATAGCTTTTGATAATAACGACAAAGCATTTAATGATGATGATCGTGATGATTTTAACCTTCACAACTAAATAGTGCCAAACTCATTATTTTTTAAGGACGGTCAAAACGGTTAGAATGGTAGGTGTTAATTATCATACATTACAAAATGAAATAATACTTATTGAAAGTGACTCATATATTTAATTTACCACTGGTTTGGAAACAAGCTGGATTGTGAATGTGGTCTCTCTTACATAGGACAAACAAAAAGATCTATAAAAACCCGCGTGAAAGAACATATAGCTGACTTGAAGCACCGACGTTCCGGGAAGTTTGCAGTATGTGATCATGTTCAAGATCGTCCCCGCCATTATTTGATAGACAAATCGTCGCAAAAGAACACCGATTCCTACCAAGGATGATTTGCTAGGCTATTGAAATTAAAAAACATCCTGATTTCAATAGAGAAGATGAATGGGTGCTGCCATCTGCTTGAGATCCTGTAATTAATAAAATTAAATCCAAACCCAAGCATACCACTGCAAGACTTCAAGATACCGTAAGCTCATTAATCCTAGTTTAGGAATCAGTGCAACAATTTGTTTGTAACCTATATAAGTTTTAATAAAGATTATTATTATTATTTTTAAATATTTTTTTTCTCAGCTTAAAGCTGGTAATTAAATGGCGATTACGGGTTGAAACCAAGTAACCGTCATTGTAATATAAACTACACTAACATAGGGGATAAACTACATTACTGTCTTCCTGCATGAATTTTCGAACGATGCGACATGTATTTAAGATAGCTGCTTTTTGTAAATTAATGTAAGAGTTCGGTGATATATCTAGCATTAGTGCTTCGGGATTATTCCGGTGGTAGAAAGTACTATGGGTATTATAAAAAATTTTTTCATCTTCCAAATTTTTATTATTTCTCCTTTCAGTTCTGTGTATTTATTTATTTTTTCGGTTATAGTTTTAATTAAATTATGCGTATTTGGTACGGCTATATCAATTATATATACTGTTTTATTTATTTTATATTGGAGTGTTATATCCGGTCTATTATGACGGATGGTTTTGTCTGTGAGAATAGCACGGTCGTAGTACATTTCATAATTTATATTTTCAAGTACAGCCGTTGGTGTGTATTTGTAATATGGTGTATGTGAGTCTGGGATGAGTTTCTGTTTGATTGCTAATTTTTGGTGTATTATATTTACAATCTGGTTGTGTCGGTGTGTGTAATCTGTCTGCGTGAGTGATGGGCAAGCTCCTATAATATGCTGAATGGTCTCGGGCTGTTTGTGACATTTTCGACATTTATCATCTGATATTGTTGGATTTTTAATTATATATTTTTTATAATTTTTCGTATTAATGACTTGATCCTGTATTGCAATCATGAAGCCTTCGGTTTCAGAGAATAAGTAACCACATACAAGCCACCTATTCGAAGCCTCAGAATCTACATGTGCTTGATCTAAGTCATAAGGATGTCTGCCATGCAAAACTTTATTTTTCCATTGTACTAATTTGAAGTCTTCTCTATTTGTATGCTGATCATTTATTTCTGTTATATATGCCTTTTCTGCAAGGTTTACTGGTGTGAGGTTCACATCTATACTAACAATAGCATTGTGTAATTTACTGGTAGTCATTTTTTTATGAACAAAAGATCTAAGGGTTGAGAGCTGCTTAGTCCAGAGTGCTTGGATGTATATAAGACCTCTTCCAGCATGATTTCTGGCTATTGAAATTCTTTCTACTGCGGACTTGGGATGTAAATGATTAAATTTTGTTAGTATGGTACGTGTTTTTATTTCGAGGCTATTTCTGTTCTTGTCCATTTTATTATACCAAATGAATATGTTAATATCGGAATCGCATAAGTAGTAATAGCTTTAATGAGGCTTTTTGATGTTAGTTGAGTTTTACAGATTCGGCTTACTCTATTTTTGTATTAGGTCTAATAGCTTTCATTGTTGATATCCTAAGTACTTATATACCTCATCTGACTCCATGGATGAAATAATGCCTCCTTCTGGTAAAGTATAGGGTCCTGGTTCTATTTTTCCTTTCTTTATATTTAAAATTTTACATTTTTTTAATCCAAACTGCATATTTATGTCGTTACTGAATTTACTTGTAATATCTAATAAGATTTTCATGTCTTTAAATGTACTGGCGTAAAACTTTATATCATCCATGTATATCAGATGTGATATCTTTATCTCGGAATTAGGGAGTTTTTTTACAAGGTAACCTTTCTTTTGATCATTAAGTAAACGAGATAATGGGTTCAATGCGAGGCAGAACCACAATGGGTTCAAAGAGTCGCCCTGGTAAATACCTTTCCGGATAGCTATATCCCTCGTATTAATACTAGTGTTATTGGTATGCAAATGTAAAGAGGTTTTCCAGTGCAGCATAATATTTTTCAAAGAATTAATTAAAATGGGGCTTATTTTATAAATGTTTAAAACTTAAATTAGCCAAGTATGAGTTACGCTATCAAATGCTTTACGGTAGTCAATAAATGTGCAATGTAAGTTTCTCTTCCTTAAATTTGCGTGTCTATGAATGGTTGAGTCAATTATGAGCTGCTTCTTGCAACCCATGTGGTTCCTCCTCAACCCTTTTTGTTCTTCTGTTATAATCATGTTAAGCTCTAGGTGTGAGTTTATTTTTGCAGTAATAGTAGAGGTTAAAATTTTGTATATTGTGGGTAGACAAGTAATTGGGCGATATTGGGATGGACTATTTGTATTATTACTTTTTGGAATCATATATGTAACCCCTTTTGAAATAAATGCCGGAAGTGGTTGCTTTTGGAGCATAACATTTGTAAAAGTTTTAGCGAGAGCCTTATGTAGTGTATGAAATTTTTTATACCAAAAATTGTGAATGTTGTCTATTCCTGGTGATTTCCAATTATGTAGTTTAGAAGTAGCGATTTTAAAGTCATTTTCTGTTATTTCGTTAAATATCATTTCCTCTATCGAATCCCAATTAATTTTCTCCTCTTGTATCCAGTCTGCCCTTACATTGTGCGATACTGGCATCTCCCATATATCAGACCAAAACTGTTCAAGCTGCTCTTTTGTTACCATTTGTGTATCATCCCTATTATAAGTTATATTTTTATTTTGCTTTAACTGTCTATAGAACAATTTTTCGTTTGTTGTAAAAAGTTTATTTTCTTGTTTTCTTTGATTAGCCTTCGTATATCTTCTAAGTCTTTGTGCTTTCAGTGATAATTTTTGTTTGAGAGTGTCAAGGTATTCTTCGGGTGATTTGTTTGTGTTCTCATGAGTTTTATATGTTTGATAATTTCGAAAGACTTTTTCTGTTGTTTTAGTTACTTTTTTGGACCTATTGCCTTTAATGTATTGAGTAAGTCTAGCTATATCTGATCGGAGCTGGTTTATTCCGTTTTGCAATCTTATTTTCTATGCTGGTTCTAAGTTAAGCTTGTGATTTGGTAGTTGATTTTCATCTAAAATTTTTAAACCTAATTCTTTTGTTATAACCATAGCGCTACAATATACAAGGGTATGAATGTCAGTTAAAAACGCATTGTCTGTAATAAATCGGTTCAGTATATTATTGTTAAAAATATCGATTAGATTTGTAAGCTTTTTACTGTATTTTAATTTAGATAATTTCGGCCTGAATGTAGGATCCATACCTGAGTATTGGAATATTGTTGTTTTTAATTCTTCATGTAGTTTTGTACTAGCTTC